TAAGAAACTGAACATTATTTACAACATTATTACCTTTAATCCACAGCCTGGGCAAACGGTCCTCTGCGCATTCATGACTGTCTGGAGTGTAGTGATTAGGGATGTGCGCGACGACTAATTTGACTGACGTTTAAACGAAAGTTTTGTAATCCGACTAGTCTAAAAGCAAGAAACCCCCAAAAGATGGTAAGAAAAAAAAAAAAACTCTGTGCGTGCGTGTAGCATAGCCTATATTTGAAATACTTAATCTATGAATCACACTGTCAAATCCCTCAATGAATTCGCTTGCCGCACACTTGCCTCGCGTTATCATCATTTCATTTTAGGCGGTCATTTAAAAGGAAAAAAAAAAAAAAGAGTATACAACTCAACGTCGGCCAAAGCATAGCTTATTTATTCAAATCCGCTGGGGAAATGCAGAACAATGGAAAATCAATCAATAGCCTGATATAACGTTAGCCAACATATTAAAACACGATATAGAAATCCTGGCCAGGACGCATCCTGGGAAAATGGCACGTATGGTCACCCTAGAACACACACTTCTCTGTAGTTTAATTTGCCCGTCTAGTTTCTTATGACTTCTTTCTCATCTCAGGTCCAGATTGCTCTTTAAAAGTTCCTTCGGCTGAGCCGTACTGGTTTCTGCCTAACGTGAAGCCTGATGGACAGTCACTAGGTCGGGCTTCCCATAAAGCAGTGGTTCATGGGAAGCTAATGTGGGTGATTGGAGGGTTCACCTTTAACTACAGCTCCTTTCAGATGGTTATAAAGTAAGTTCTGCCGCCTGGCAACATAATAAGCCAATATTTTGTACTTATATTCATGCATCTGCAATTCTGCATGCATCACATCACTTGTCTATAAGAATTGTTCATGCACTAGTTTAATTTGCCCGTCTAGTTTCTTATCTGCTTCTTTCTCATTTCAGGTCCAGATTGCTCTTTAAAAGTTCCTTCGGCTGAGCCGTACTGGTTTCTGCCTAACGTGAAGCCTGATGGACAGTCACTAGGTCGGGCTTCCCATAAAGCAGTGGTTCATGGGAAGCTAATGTGGGTGATTGGAGGGTTCACCTTTAACTACAGCTCCTTTCAGATGGTTATAAAGTAAGTTCTGCCGCCTGGCAACATAATAAGCCAATATTTTGTACTTATATTCATGCATCTGCAATTCTGCATGCATCACATCACTTGTCTATAAGAATTGTTCATGCACACTTATGTTTAATTATGTGATGTGATCTTTAAAAGCAATTTTTGACATTCAGGGTTTGATGTTGTATCCCTAAAAAAAGAATTCTAAAATATGTATCACAGTTTTTACAAAATTATTAAGTTGCACAACTGTTTTTACCATTGATAATAATAAATGTACCAAATCAGCATATTAGAATGATTTTTGAAGGATCATGTGACACTGAAAACTGGACTAATTGCTGATGAAAATTCAGCCTTGTTAGCACAGAAATAAATTACATTTCAAAATATATTGAAATAGAAAAAAGTTTGTTCTAATATTTAATATGAATTGTCATATTTTTACAGTATTACTGTTTTTTTATAGCATTTTTTTGATCAACCTCTTTCACAAATATAAAAAAAAATCTGTACTGAATACATTACTTTCCCCATGTTTATCAACTTGCAATGAATGTGCAGCACTTTCTTTTTACCATTGATAATAATAAATGTACCAAATCAGCATATTAGAATGATTTTTGAAGGATCATGTGACACTGAAAACTGGACTAATTGCTGATGAAAATTCAGCCTTGTTAGCACAGAAATAAATTACATTTCAAAATATATTGAAATAGAAAAAAGTTTGTTCTAATATTTAATATGAATTGTCATATTTTTACAGTATTACTGTTTTTTTATAGCATTTTTTTGATCAACCTCTTTCACAAATATAAAAAAAAATCTGTACTGAATACATTACTTTCCCCATGTTTATCAGCTTGCAATGAATGTGCTGCACTTTCTCTTTCTTTCTTCCTTTCTTTCTTATGTTCCTCTGTTTTGCAGCTATAATCTAGAAAGTAGCACATGGGATGTAATACCAATCAACGGTGGCCCTCTGCAGCGCTATGGACACTATCTGGCTCTTTACAAGGTAAACACACTGCTAATCACTTTGCATAACAATGCCTCAGTGAGTGATTTGACTGTTTGCCATTACAATTCAGAGCCTGTGATTTGCATTTGAGTAGATGTGACCTCAGTCATTGTTGTCCATAATGTTACAGGCCAGGGTCAGATAGTGTTTAGCTACATGTTGCATCGAGTTGCATGTACTTTCATTATTTTGTAGCAACAGTGCCCTCTACTGTTAACGTAGAGTATTTTTATCAGGTAATGTAGTAATCATTGCATTATAAAGTAGGGTGACCATACGTGCCATTTTCCCAGGACACGTCCTTGCCAGGATTTGTTTTGGCTTTGTTTTCCTGTTTTCATGCTTGCTGAAGGTAATGATCGAAAAGTAGTTTGACCGATAACATGCAGGCATTGTACATAATGGACCAATCATGGCGTGTGAGAAGGTGGGATCTACGGTCAAAGCGATGCAATTACACGTACATAGGATGTGTGTTCGACTTAAAAGCAGTGCGGCTCACATCGATCAGTGTTTGACATCAAAGTACCTCGAGAGCATTTTGAAAGCATAAGGAACCGTCTGTATGGTATTTTGATGTCATACACCAATCGGTCTGCACACGCAAACAAAGCCAAAACCTAGATATTTTAGGCAATATAGAAATCCTGGCCAGGACGCGTCCTGGGAAAATGGCATGTATTGTCACCCTATTATAAAGCCCTGACAGTTTATGCTCTAGTGCTATTTAAAGAGGGTGGTAAATGATATATAGTCTCTTGATTTCTCATGTGCTCTCTTTTTAGGAGGAGAGGTCAGCACTTAATAGTATCCCAGGGTTGTTACACTGGTGATTTCGCATTATAGCTTTTAGCTTAGCAATGTAGCGGTTAGCATAACTGTTACATTTTTCATTATTTACTGATAAGCAGTATTTTTTGTGTGTATTAAACATGAATACTTGATCAAATGCATTCTATGTAGTGGTCGACCGATATATTGCCAAGGCAGATATATCGGCTGATATTTGGCATTTTTTAAATATCGGCATCGGCCGATAAGCTTTCCTGTTTGGCCAATGCGTTCGATGTGGGACTTTTATTTTGACGGCACGACATACTTTTATTTTGAAGGCGTTGAGAACGGCAGCACTTGAGCACACAGTGCTCACATTCTCCCTCTTGTTCGCTGTGGCGTTAACAGTTCTGTCTAATACAGATTATCTAATACGTCTGTCTAATAATCAGATAGAACGGTTAAACAAAGGAATTAAAATGTATACAAAAAGTATTATAACGATTGCTTTTATATTATTAGTAATAGAAAGGCAAACATTATAATACTTTCTTGTTTGCCATCAGCATTCAGCAAATACGCATTTATATCATTTAAACAAATCTTTGAATGACTAATGAACATTTAATTTCACAATTGTGTGTGCATTTGTATCCTGCATGATCGCGTATGCTCGACGGTCGGTCCGTGCGAATTGAATGTGGACAGGAGGAGAGTTCAGCTTCACTGGAGATGTGCAATCGACAAACTTTAAACTCATGATTTTAAATTATGCTGTGCTTTATGCATTTGCCCACTGCCATATTCATGTCATTTTCACTGTGTTCTGTATGTAAAATGAGTGTTACCTTGGCTTTATTTGAAAAAATATGATTCCCAAATTACACAAACTTCCCAGAATACTGTGCCCTGTTGGTTACAGTGCTTACTTATATTTTATTAAATATTTATGTATTTGTGAAAAATATTTTGTCATCTAAAGTATAAGTATGTTTTATTTAACACATTACTTTTTAATCCATTTTCAAATTATTTCAAATTTCTTAAACATTAATTAAAATAAATAAAATTATATTGGCTTTATATCGGCCATTGGTCACCCTGCTTTCCAAGATATCGGCATCGGCTGTCAAAAAACCAATATCGGTCAACCACCATTGCTGATCTTGTTATGTAGCTTCATATGCTGCGAATCCTAAAAACAGAACTTAAAAAAAAAAAAAAAAAGGGCTATTATTGTGACAGTTTATTAAAAAAATACATGTCGAATGAGAGGGTTCACATACTTCTTCATTTTTTCTTTGGACAAAAAAAATAAAAAATAAATGTAGTGTAAATCAAGTCTGGGTGTGTGAACTGAGATATTAAATCAAAGTAAAATCAGAGTCGTTTATTGTCAAATGTACAAGTACCATCTATGAAGTACAATGAAAATCTTACTTGAATGCTTTTCCACAGACTATAGACAAGATAGAATACAATAGGCATTATTGCTGCAGTATGTACAAAAATATGCACTGGAATAGACTGGATTCATTTACACCTAGAAAGCCACTGCCATCCCTCTAGGTAAGGTTTTTTGTTTGGATGAGCTTCATTGTGTTTAGATAACGAACTATAACTGGATTTAATTTTGGCTGAGATGCATGCTGTCATGCACAACTGAGATGTATGTTTAATTTAAGAAATGGGGATGAAGTTATTCCATACACAACTGTGAATCACATTCTTTCCGATGAATATTCCACCGCAGGGTGTTCGCTTTCACCACCAGAGCCTGTGATAATGTCTGCGGATTCATAAGAATGTTTATACTGCTAATGGTTTCTAAGATACGCTCACTGAGTCTGAAGGAAATAAGCAGGAACTTTCTCTCAATCCACAGTGTAAACTGGTTTCACTGGGCTGCTTTTGAGTTAGTATAATACAGCAGTGGATATACCTTTACAGCAGTTTAGTGGCTGCCAAGACGTCATACTTGTTTATTGTGCATATATAGTAGGGTTGGGCCTATTGAAAAATATTTTGTCATCTAAAGTATAAGTATGTTTTATTTAACACATTTATTTTTTAATCCATTTTTAAATGATTTCAGATTTCTTAAATATTAATTAAAATAAAGAAAATTATATCTGCTTTATATCGGCCATCGCCCCCCCTGCTTTCCAAGATATTGGCATCGGCATCGGCTGTCAAAAAAAACAATATCGGTCAACCACTAATTCTATGTGTTAAATTCCGTTTTTAGTTGTGTTCAAAAAATGACTTCCTCTTTCCAAATCGGACTGCACTTACTTCTCTTTGTTTATTTTACTTGTTAAATGAACAGGCTGTCATAAAAACAGTTAAAGTTAGCTAAGTATTAATTTGTTACAGTAAAGTGGTAAGTTTTGTTTTGTCTGGACTGACAAAAGAAAAACCATGCTGCATTGGCCGGGAATCGAACCCGGGCCTCCCGCGTGGCAGGCGAGAATTCTACCACTGAACCACCAATGCTCACATGAAAAAGCAGTGGGAGTTCCCGTGGTCATGTGGGGTTGAGGCACAAATGGCTTCTAAAACCAATGCGATGAAAGCAGGAGCGCCAGCATAGAGAGTAGAGAAACCAGAAGTGTAAATCAGAAAAGGAAAGAACTGGAGAAAGGAAAGGAAGAGTGCACACTGTGGAATGTATAGTGTGGAAGTGAGTGTGTGGTGAATGCAGTACCACATGACCACGGAAACTCCCACTGCTTTTACACGTGAGCATTGGTGGTTCAGTGGTAGAATTCTCGCCTGCCACGCGGGAGGCCCGGGTTCGATTCCCGGCCAATGCAGCGCATCTTTTCTTTTGTCAGTCCAGAAAAAAAACTTTATTGGAACATTAACATAAGTACTTAGCTTAGCCTGTGTGTAGAATAAAGTAGAATGAAGAAAGTAAAGGAATAATGGCAGAAACAGCTTGAAAAAGGAAGATAAAAACACAATGCATTTGATCAAGTACCCATGGTTTTCATCCTAAAAACAGAACTTTCAAAAAAAAAAAAAAAAGGGCTATTATTGTGACATGCCATCGTCCATCGCCGATGGCTGATAGACATCACGATGTTGAGCCGGCATCGTGATCCCCCCCCCCTAATACCCCCTGCAATCCGTCACATCCCAATACCGTGTTCGGAGAGAAAATGACATGTAGGCGGAACCCCTAAAGGGAATAAATACGTATTTCAATATTTTTCCTTGCAGTTATATCATTGGGTAATTATACTACATATATATTTCTGGCATCAGGGAGCCGCTATTATACCTGGCATTGAAACTGGCATCGTGCTTTTGAATGCACGAATGCTTTTTAGTTTCACTTTCACTTTCGTGATTCGCGATCGCACGCACTCTGTTTATACTATCGAGCGGCAGTACTTCCCACACATTTTACAAGATTATATGTTTGTCAGTGGTATGAGGATTTGCAAATCATTCGCCATTGTCCTCAGTCATCTCTCCTTACTCTGTTTATGTGGTAAGTGAAATTTTATGTACTGTAACAGACAACCGTGTCTACACCGGACGCGACACGACAACTGTCACACCGCATCAGCTAAAGTCTGTCTACACTGGACACGACAAAGCGACCTCTGAAAATCATTTGAAAATTGTGTCAGCACGTTATAAATAGAACGCGGCAGCAGTTTAATGTTGGGGATTTATCGTGTCGTGTCGCGCCGTGCCACATCCAGTGTAAACAGCATCACTGATTATAATGAGTTCTATACACTGATCTATATATAATGAATCTCTATTATAGATCAGTGGTTCTATAGTAATTTTTTCGCGCCGCGCCGCTCGCGTCTGGTGTAGACACGGTGTTAGGAATCGTTATTTGTTTTCCCTTATAAGGATTCACGCTTCGGGCACACCCCCTAACTCCACCCCCCCCACCCCCACCCTCGCCGATGTCATCGTCCATCGCGATGTATCACTGTAGACATCGTCCGATGCCAGTTTTGTAGACATCGCCCAACCCTAATATATAGGCTACATCTTTCTCTCTTATGCACAGTGCACATTATGTTTTAAATTGGCTGTTTTCATTGTGGCAAAAGGTCCCTGGCAAATGGACAAATTAAAATCATTGTTTTGTCCAAAATACACATGACTGTGTTTCACTAAGCTGTCATCTGGCAGATGTCTTTATTTGTCGAATGCTCTTTGATGATAGGAATGCAGTAGAAGGCTAGTGAATGTGCATTTGCAGAGGATTAGAGGTTGTGCATGCTTGTGTGTGTGTGTGTGTGTGTGTACATGCATAGGAGTTCAGTCAGCAGAATATGAGATGGCCTTTTGCTTACTGTTTCATGAATCATAAAGCAGCTGTCTGCACTTTTATCTGAACTAAAAAAATGTGCAGATATCCTCAAATTCTTCTTTTCCATTCTGATAGTCTTTAGGCCAAATGTTGCCTTCGAATATCAAAAAAGTACAAAACACAGGGTTGCATTTACACATACAGTATGGCATGTATGTATACACTGCCGTTCAAAAGATTGTGATCAGTAATCAAAAATATATATTGTGAAATATCATTGCAATTTAAAATAAAGGTTGTCTTTTTTAATGTAATTTAAAATATAATTTATTCCTGTGAAGCAAAGCTGAATTTTCATAAGCCATTACTTCAGTCTTCAGTGTCACATGGTTCTTCAGAAATCATTCTAATATGCTTATTTATTATCAATTTTTGGAATAAAAATGTATAAAAAGTTAAAAAGAACAGTATTTATTTTAAAAAGAAATCTTCTTTTTAGCTTTTTGTTTCATCAAAGAATGAAAAAAAAAAATGTTTCCAACATTGATAATAAATCACTATGTCACACTGAAGACTGGGGTATAATGATGCTGAATATTCAGCTTTGCATCACATAAATAAATAATAGTTTAAAGTATATTAAAAATAGAAAACCATTATTTTAAATTGTAATAGTATTTCAGAATATTGCTGTTTTTTTTTCTGTATTTTTGATCAATTAAATGCAGTCTTGACAAGCATAAGAGACTTAATTGTTAAAATAATTGTTTTATATTTGAATATCTTTAAATATAATTGATTATTTATTACTGTGATGCAAAACGTTTTTCAGTAGCAATTTCTCCATGTAACGTGTCACATTCAAAATACTTATTATCAGCAGCTGTGCTGCTTAATATTTTTGTGGAATATTTAATTTTTAGCATTTATTTAAAATAGAAATATTTTGTCACATGATGAATGTATTTACTGGATTTTTTTTTTCAATGTAATGCATCTTTGATTAATAAAAGTAATAATTTCTTAAATCTTACTGACCCCAAACTTTTGAGTGATAGTATATGCAATTAATGAAAAGTACAAAAAAAGAACTTTTGTATCTTCCATGTAATGATTACAGGACACCTATAGTTTAATTGGGAGTCCAGCAGATTGTTTTTTTTGACCTGGGATCAGCTGATAACCTTTCTAAACTTTGTGAACGCCACATTGCGATAGTAAAGTGACTACTTTTCTGTAGTTATACGCTCAAGTTCGAGTCTTGTTTTTGTTAGTTAAAGAGATGCAGCAGTGTCACAAGGCTTGAGTTTGTTCTCCATGGAGTCCTTTCCAGATGCAGTGTATTGATTGGCTGTTTACACAGGAGAATATGTGCTACTGCAAAGCGGGTAAATTGGTCTCCAACTTTTGCTCAGCCTGGGGTGATGTAATACCTCAAATGCTTGCACAAGAACTCATCATATCATCTTAATGTCTCCTCTCTATCCTTTACAGGATGATATCTACATGTTTGGTGGGAAGCTGGAGGCAGGCTCCGGGAACGTAACAGATGAACTGTGGCAGTTTGATACACGTAGCCGGTCTTGGTCCCTTAGAACACCCAGCCCTGGGCTGCAGGTCCAACCCTTCGCTGTGGAGGGACACACTGCTCACATAGTGGACAACAGGAATGGAGAACCCATCATGGTGGTGCTTTTTGGCTATTCACCCATTTACAGCTACCTCAGCCTTGTCCAGGAGTACAACATTCGTAAGTACCGATATGTGCCTTGAAATAGATTCAGAATTGCATTATTGAGAAAAATATTCTTCCCATGAACTGTGTAGTTTCACGACAGAGGCTGCATTGATGCCAGTCGGATGCGCAGTTAAAAATGCAGACAATTCCTCTGGCTTCCAGCAGATGGCAGTGTATTATAACATTTAATTAGTGCAGTGCCTTAGTGATGACATGGTGAGTTGACATGGCCAGTCTCATTAAAGTGAAGGTTTTCCACTTTCTTTTCTTTCAGTGGTATTTTCTACTTGACTCGACACAAACACACACCCACTCAAACGCACACTTATGCTTTAGGTCATTAGGAAGTGGTGGTACCTGAAGTGCACTGTCTGGGATTGAACAATGATTAATGTGTCTGAGCTCTGTTCAGACTCCACTTAAATCTCTCTTTCTTATGCTTTCGTTTTCCCCCTCTTACTCTGTCTCTGGTCGTACTCTCTAAATGAATACATGAGCTTATTAGAGCTGGTGAAAATGATGGCAATCGCACCCTGCTACACATCTGTTAAAATTGATGACATAAAGAACTTGGTGAAATTAGAATGATGCAATATTTGAAGAGAAGTTTTCTTAAACTTTAGATATAAGTATAAATACAGTGATGTAACAAGTCAGGAAAGCAATGAGGCAGAGACTGCTTAACCCTGGGATCCTCTGTCTCTGTAACACTTAGTCATGTGTAATTCATCACAGATGTTCTACCAGCGAGCAGCTAACCACAGTCTTGAAATCAGACAAGAATGCTAAATGTCGGCATGTTAGATGTAGTTACGCCACAATGTTAACTTATGTTTAAAGTTAGTTTTAATGTATAAATTAATTTTTTATTTCCTTAATTTGAAAGTAGCATGTTAAAATATATTGTTGCATTGGCCGGGAATCGAACCCGGGCCTCCCGCGTGGCAGGCGAGAATTCTACCACTGAACCACCAATGCTCACATGTTTCATTTTTACATCCGTCATGCCCCTCACTAAATTTTACACATAGATTCTTAGATTAGACAGATTAACTATAGAGATTTTAATTTCCTTCCATGTATGATCAATGAATACAACATTAAAATTCTGTTTCATGCATATGTGCTCAAATATTTTAGTATACAACAACAACAATAATAATAATAATTTATTAATACTGCATTTAGGCATGCAATTTTTTCTGGACCTGGAGAATGGTAGTATTACGAGTTTCACAATTTGAGTTGAATTACTGAAATAAATTAACTTTTCAACGACGTTCTAATTTATTGAGATGCACCTGTATTCTTTAAAGCACCTTGTAAATGCCACAGCTCATAAATATGCAAATCATTGAGTGCTGTTATATATGGTATTACCATCTGTCACTATGTACTGTGTTACTACCGCTGTATATTTTTGAAAGCGTTTACACTGACTTTTATGCTAATAACAATATGATTTAAAGAAAGATCTTTTTCTTTCTCCGTTTCTTTCTCAAAAGAAAGTTTGTTTTCTCATGATACGCTGCGTTATACTGTTAGCATATATTGCACATATGAGTTTCTGAGAGTAAAGTCTAACTCTTTGTCAGGCACTAACTCCTGGTCGGTGGCAGAGACAAATGGGGCGCTGGTGCAAGGAGGATATGGCCACAGCAGCGTTTATGACAGCTCTTCATATTCCATATATGTCCACGGAGGATACAAAGCCCTCCCTGCCAACAAATATGGCCTAGTGGATCATTTGTACCGCTATCAGGTCCACACACACACCTGGTGAGTATCCACACAGTGTACATGTAATACTATGAAAAGTGTGTGTGCCTGTGTATCGTTGCGTGACTGTGACTAACCATTTCAGCCTCTGCCCCCTCACAAAAAGAACAGATACTTTCATCCACACGTAAATCAAACCTTAGCACATATGTAAGCAGGAATCACATCTTCGCTAAGCCGATGAGTGTGCTGACCAAGACTTTCCGACATGTGTGAAATATGACAGCATTTACAAATAAGCTAGTAGTGACACTATAAATGATGCCAGGTTACTGTTGCCAGGCTGAGTTCTTTGGAGGTTTAGTCCAAGAGGAACGATTCCAAGATGCCAAACAGGTGTTTTATCTTTTTTCATAACCCTGCTGAAAAACAGCAAAAAATAGGATAGTTTAGCCAAAAATGAAGGAATGAATGGATGGATGAATTTAAATTTTTGTCATAATTTACGCACTGTCTCATTGACTTTCTTTCTTCTGCTAATACAAGAGAAAACATTTTGATGAATGTTGGTAACCAAAATATTTTGGCTACCATTGGCTTCTGTTGTATGGACAAAAACACAGTGAAATTTCACAGAATATCTTGCTTTATGTTCCACAGAAGAAATAGTCATACAGGTTTGATAAATCATACAGGTCAGGAATAAAATTAGGGTAAGTAAATGATGACAGATTTTCGGTTTTGGATAAACTATCCCTTTAAATCGCTGGTGTCAATGTATGTATTTGCATACCTCCATGCACCCTGTTCACGCAGACAAGATACGTTATCAGTGCGTTTCAATATGCCATTGCAGACCGAGCGAGAATGGAAGGCATTATTATTGTAATACTATGCGCTTTGTACTGTAATGTTTTCTCACCGGTGAATGAGGCATGAAGTAATCTGACAGCATTGCATTGAACCCTTCACCAACGCCGCTTTTCGTGTTGCTGGTTAGCCTCTGGTCTGCTTGTGTGCATTCATGTGTTTTGGAGGAGGCGTGGCTTTGGAGAGTGATTTGCAGGGAGGGTGGGGAACTTATGCTTTCAAAGCTTGCTATTGCTAGCCTGTCCGAAATCACCTACCCTACCGGCCTGGTCAGACTAGTATGTTGGTTGGTTTTAGAGTCGGTTTGGGTATTTTTCAACTTGCCGTCCAGCTAAAACAACTAAACACCAGATTGACAAGGCTGGGAGACCAACTTGGCCAGGCTGGGAGACCAGCTTAAACTAACTAAGAGCGACTTCAACTATCTAAAACCTTTAAACCAAGTTTAATCCATGTTAGATTAGCTAAAAACCAGTTTAGGCTGGTTTAAGAGCAAGGAAGTGTGTAATTTGTGCACCAAATGGAATTACTGTTTTTGGTTACACCATTTTAAGCTGTCCTTGTTACAGTGTAATTATATATTTAAGTATATATTTTGGAAAGGTGTTAAAGGGATGATAGAGAAGATCTTTGGTGTTAACATTAATCTGTCACCTTTACTCTTTTTATTTTCATTATCAAGGAGATCAATTTGAAAAACAAGGAATATATATATTTGTAAATATATGTATTTTTCAAGCAAGACGGCTTATTTCTTTAAATTGGAAAAGTATTTGTGCACCAAATATAGGTGGTTGGAATTTTAAAAAGTACAGAGTAATATTAACATGTAACAAGTAACGTAATTACATGCAATGTTTCCAGCCCAGTTTCCAGCAATGTTCTCAAATCTGGTCCTGTCTGGTCAGTAAAACAAATGGATTGTAGCCACTTTTGGTGCTGCTAATGGTGCAGATATTACACTCTTTCCCTTTTAACTCCAAAACTAACTTGGAAATGTTATGACATTTGTTATTATTAACGTAGTGTTTGGCCTACAGTTGAACCCAGTGGTACCACCAATGACTTTATGAATGCTATGGAACACTTCTTGAAGCTTAGACAAAGCACAAAGTAGTGGTAGATGTTAATTTGAGGTTTCTTTCTCACGTTCGTTCCTTTTCACACTCAAAGACGGTTCTCTTAAAAGTTGTCGGCTGCACAAAGAAAGCTTTTGTATCCATTTCTCCTAGAACGTCACTGTCTTCTGTGCTTGCAGATGGAAGTCATTAAAAAAAGAGACACATGCCCAGTTTTTTTTTCCTTTGCCTTTATATTTACTGTCTCTTTGCTTGGCCTAACGGTGAAACCTGTCTCTAAAAGCTTTCGTACCCTTAAACGCAAGGATTTCTCACTTGCACACACACACAGAAGTCTGACTGTGAGTTCCTCACTCTCTGACTTTTGATTGGCAAAGTAAGTGAAAGGAGCTGCACAATGCATCAAACAACGCTTCGCTTACAGGGCTCGGGGTGTTTGACAGAGTGTAGAGAGGAGTGCTGAGTGGATGCAGAGTGACACAGAGTGCTCATTCTCACACATACAAACACAATGAGGTTGAAGCAGATATGACACATGAGATGGAAAGCGAAAGGGAGAAGTGGTGAAAGAATTTAGGAACCCATTGTGCCTTTTTGAAGTTAGAACTTTAGAGATTTTAAGAAAGTATATTGTATATTTTTGTACATTTTTGGAAACTGAAAAGAAAAAAAAAAATTATAAATGAATGACGCTTAGTAGCTGGTTCATTTTCGTGAATCAAAACCATACAGCAAGGTCTGTGTAGTCTGATTCACAAGTGAACAGCCTGATTTAGCGTGATCTGTGTAGTCTGTTTCATAAACATACAAATACAAGTCTGATTCATAAACGAATGACTCTTAAAGGGGTCATATGATGCGATTTAAATTTTTCTTTTCTCTTTGGAGTGCTACAAGCTCTTGGTGCATAAAGAAGATCTGTAAAGTTGCAAAGACTAAAGTCTCAAATCCAAAGAGATATTCTTTATAAAAGTTAAGAGTCAACCACGCCTACTTAAAACGGCTCGTTCTAACACGCCCCCACATGTCTATGTCACGATGTGGGAAGATTTGCATAACGCCACACTGTAGGCCGCCTCTGCTCACTCTAACCCTCCCGCCGTTCCTCACGCTAGCCCCGGCCTCCGCTCACTCAAGGCCGCGGTGTGTGACGCCTTTTCGTTGTGAAAGCGAAACTACTTTGTTTGGCCTTCCAAAAGAGGACACGACTAGAAATCAGTGGTTAAGTTGTATTTACAACACTGTTCCAGAACAGTTTAACCCAAATATCTAGATGTGTGCAGCGCATTTTATGGAGGACTGTTTTCTGATCCTGGTAGAGTAGACTACAATGCCGGCTGTTCTGACTCACAGACTGTAAGTACGTTTTTTATATATAAAGAATTTGCCACTGACGATTCAAACGCGAGTTTTGGGCAGTGTAGAGTAGCGCTTGTGGTTTTATGTTTACGCGGCGCGGCGCGATGCAGTGCGTAAAAAGACAGTATAAGTCATTATAATCCGTAATTATGTCCCCACTGGATGCAACAAATGCCTCATTTATAATGTGTTTTAATGTTTTTGTCTCGTCGCTCCGGCCGGACAGGGCATCACAGTATGGTAGGGGCGTAACATTTCCGTCACACGCTTGAGGTATTCGGCCAATCACAACGCACTGGATAGCTGGCCAATCAGCACACCTCGCTTTTCAGACCGATGAGCTTTGTAAAAATCGACACGTTTCAGAAAGGCGGGGCATAGAGGAGAAACAATAATGTACAGTATGTGGAAAATAATGTGTTTTTTTAACCTTAAACTGCATAAACACATTTCATTACACCAAATACACAAAATAATGTTCTTTTTAGCAACATCATATGACCCCTTTAAGAGCTGGTTCTTTTTAGTAAATCAAAATCTTACAGCAAGGCCTGTTTAGTCTGAATAGTGAGTGAACAACACTTGTGAGTGGGTTGTTTTTAGAGAATTAAAACTTTCAGTGTGACAAGTGTCATCTGATTATTGAACAAATACACTTTTTTGATGATTCAAAAACATATAGTATGACCTGTGTAGTCTGATTCGAGAACGGATTATTCTTAGGAGCCAGTTCTTTCTAGTGATTCAAAACTATACAGTGCAGCCCATTTAGGCCCAATCCCAATTCTACCCCTTAGCCCTTCCCCTCCGTTTCACGTTTCGCGCGTTCACGTGAAGGGGTAGGGGTGTCTCGATTCTCTTTTGGTTGGAGGGGTAAGGGGAAGGGCCAGATAGCCCTTCAAACGAAGATTTTTCGGGACCACACTTCAAACGAAGGGGTATGAATTATCTCAGCGTAAACCGGCTTCAGGGGCAACATGGCTGCCAGAGCGAACAAAAAGACACATAAATGTAAGCATTTTTGGCATTAATAAAGATTTTAACGAAAAGTAATCATTTGTTTTATGTTGCATTCAATCGTGAGTTCATATTACGGTCATGTTACTCAAAGAAATGTTTGCAAAAAATCGCTAAAGTTTGCTAACGTCATATCATTACAGACTGCACGATAGTGCCACAACATATTTTCATGTCTGATCAGGGCGATAACCACCGTAGACATTGAGGGGGGCTAGTCCCCCCAATAATTAGAAATTGCTAAACCCTTTTCTCAAATATTGCCAATTCGAGAGAGAGAGAGAGACAGATAGAGAGAGATGAAAGTTGCGTGTATGCGTGTCTGTGCGTTTTTTTTTTTAGAGTGAGTTTACTTCAAAAACAGCGATTTTATCCTCTTGTTGCTGGAAAATATAATGTAGCGATTCAGTATTTAAACTGTTATTAATAAAAGTCGCGGTGCAGCGTTAACAAGTATCTTTGCTCCTGGATGTTTGAGCTGCGCGATCTCTGATATGTGTGTGTCTGTGTGTGTGTGTGTGTCAGTAAGCAGCACATTAATATAGAACGGTAATTAAAGGCTCTAATGCACACATTATAGACTGCACGATAGTGCCACAACATATTTTCATGTCTGATCAGGGCGATAACCTCTATAGACATTGAGGGGTTCTAGCCCCCCCAATAATTATAAATCGCTAAACCCTTTTCTCAAATATTGCCAATTCGAGAGAGAGAGAGAGACAGATAGAGAGAGATGAAAGTTTCGTGTATGCGTGTCTGTGCGTTTTTTTTTTTTAGAG